TGTTAGTCGTTTTCATCATCAATTCGTCAGCGGTTTAACTTCTCCACTGTCCTATTTAATTCTTGTTGCGTTCAAAACAGTTTCTAGTGGTTTATTGTGTTCGTTCGTGCGCGCGCGTGTGTTGGTGTTTTAGCAAGAATATACAAACACAAACAAACAAACACAAACACACACACACACACGAACGAACACAATAAACCACTAGAAACTGTTTTGAACGCAACAAGAATTAAATAGGACAGTGGAGAAGTTAAACCGCTGACGAATTGATGATGAAAACGACTAACAAACAGGCATACTGACAAATAAAGGAACAGACAGACAGACAGAAGCACACACACATACACACACAAACATACAGCGTACATACAAACAAACATAAAATAAAATCTTTCATTTCGATTTCATATACCTCAAAAACCAATTAATTTAATCTATCAATAAAATAACTATAAATAAAATATAACAAATTTATAAAATGAAAGAGTAAACATCAATTTGTAGCCTGTTCCAAGCCTCGGTCAGTTTGTAGTTGACAGCCGACGATTTGTTGTCCATCTTGCCAGTAGAGTTGTACTGGTATTTTATCTGGTAGGTCATGCTTGTCTCCAAATCTTTCAGTAACTGGTTCAAGGTTATAAATCTATTTAATTATTTGATTGATATTTATACGAATAGAAATCGTTATTGCACACTTTGTACTCCATGCACACACACTCACACACACATATACACACATAAACATACTCCACGCACACCCATACAAAAACCGTTTCAACGAACCAATACGATGGAATAAATTTAGTTATAAATATTATTGCACTCACACAGACATACATACACATACACACACTACTCACACACACACAGAGACACATACATAAACATACATACACACACACAATACATACATAAACAATTGAACTACAAAATTTTCATACAATAGGATAATTATTTATCCCCTTTCAGATAAGGAATAAAATCTGTAACAACAACGAAAGACCTTTTTTCCCCGATTGTAATAAAGGTAACGAACGCATTCGATGTGGTAGAAGGCTGTGTGTGTGGGTGTGTGTGGATGTTTGTGTCGGTGTGTTTGTGTGAGAAAGCATGTATAATGAGTTTGTATATGTATATGTGTGTATATGTGTGTGTGTGTGTGTGTGAGAGTGTTTGCGTATTTATGTCCGTGTGTATGTTTTCGTGTAGATGTATGTGTCTATTTCTTTCTTTTATTCTCTTTTTTTTCTCTAATTTCCTCTCTCTCTCTCTCTCTCTCTCTCTCTCTCTCTCTCTCTCTCTCTTTCTCCCTCACTTAGCGCTATCTATGTCTTTTTAGTAATGTAATGTGTTTTTAACCTTCGGTTACGATTTAACGAATGATTGAATGAATAAATGAATGAAAATAATAATAACGAAAGTAAAAAATAATGGTTGTGTTGTTACGGTGATTAATAATGATAATAATTATTATGATTATTAAAATTATTGATATCATTATTTTAATATTATTGTCGTCGTCGTCATTGTAGTAATAGTAGTAGTAGCAAAAACCGCAGTTTTATTATTATTATTATTAGTAGTAGTAGTAGTAGTAGTAGTAGTAGTAGTAGTAGTAGTAGCAGTAGCAGTACTACTAATAATAGTCGTAGTGGTAATAGTGATAAATTTGGCAGTGGTGTCTGTTGTTGTTTTGGCTGGTTGCTGGTTGCCTTCACATCATCATTAATAAATGAAGCATCTGAAAGCCTTACAAACTTCCCACAGGACTTGTTGCCGTGTGTGTGTGTGTGTGTGTGCGTGTGTGGGTGTGTAATGCGTATGTGTGTCTATGTCTCTCTCTTTCCTCTCTCTCTCTCTCTCTCTCTCTCTCTCTCTCTCTCTTTCTCTCCGTGTATATGTTTCTCCGTCTGGATGTATGTGTGTGCGTCGAAGATTGTTTGTATGTGTGTATGTCTGTGTGTTGGTGTTTTGGCGTGAGGTAGTTTGCATGTGGGTGTATGCGAGTGTATGGGAGTGCTTTTGTATTTATGTTTGTGCGAATGTTTGTGTCGCTTTCTGTGTGGATTTCTCTCTGTTTCTCTCTCTCTCTCTGTTTCTCTCTCTCTCGGTCTCTCTCTCAGCAAAAACATTCCTTGCCCATATAGATTTCCATCTACTTACCTTTTACATTATCGTTATCATTAATAATAAATGTAATATAACGATTAATGTCTACAAACACTTAAATGCTCTTTATACGGGCATAGGGTATATATGTATGTATATACCGCTTGCATGTACTAGTTACAACGACACAGCTCAGATTACTACTACTGCTACTAATTTTACTACTACTACTACTACTACTACTTCTGCTACTACTATCACTACTACTACTTCTACTATTGTTGCTACTACTACCACTACTAACACTACCACTACTACTGCTGA